CCCAAAAGACATAAAAGGACAAGACTTGTCCTGTCAAGCATTCAGAGTCTTTTAACATTTTGACACACTGTTTTGTTTGCTTCGTATGGAAACCATTCTAAATCAAAATCTATAACAATGCTTGATCTTTAATCACTCAATAATTCCAAGCCCAAGCTCTCCGGACATGGGAATTGACCCCATAATATGTACCCAATTAGGTCAGGTTAAGTTTTGACATATCTCTCTAGCCATGACCATTGCAGGATATGAAAGCATTTTCAAAACATCTGCTAATGAATCTTCATAGCCCACAGTGAAGCTCATCAGTATCAACAGAAAAACCCAATTGGTGAGAAAAGCAGCAGTGATTTGACCAGGCTCACACAGTCACTTGGTGGTACAGGTGGAAATACAGCCAAGTTAGTACCCTGATACCTACCCACTCCCAGGTCAGTCTCTATGAGAAGGACTAAGATGAGTAGTTTGCCCTATTCTTCTTGTTTCCAAGAGGTTAGAGGGAGCCCCAGCTCATTCCTTCGAAGGAGATAATAACTTCTTTTTGCCTGCTATCTGCCAGAACCACAGTGACCCTCCACTCATCACACTGACTATGAGATCATGCTTAAAGGATCATTAAAAAGGAAACATGTTTCTAATAAGTCTCATTTTTTGAAAACCACACGCTCTTCTTTTTATGGCCTGGCTTTTTCTCTTAAAATATAGTGGGCCTAATTCACATGGGGATCGCGGGTCAGAAGCTCTACACAAGAGGAAAAAAACTGACTTAAAAGATTTGAATTATCTTTTTGATCATCATTATCCAACCTCATTTTCTTTTGCCTTATTTTTTTTCCCCCTCTACTGTTGATTGTATCTTTCCTCATTGGTATTCCAGGTGCATGCATTATCCCACCCGGTTTCTGTAATGCCAACTAAATCATCATTGTTTTCATGCATGCAAACTACTCACTGTTCCTGCTTCGTCATTTCCCAGATATCTGGTGTTGAGACACTGAGGAAATAGTTTTATCCATTTTCTCTCACACCCTTTAACCTCACTTTCCTTATTGGTTGCATTCCCTTTTGCTTAGTCCTAGACACATCCAGAGCCATACTCAGACCATACTTCCTGCTTACCTTCGGGTTCTTCTTCAACAGCAATTACTATGCTTTATGCCTGACTGTAGCTTAGTTCAGTATCTGTGAATCAAATGGTTCTGTCTGCTCTACTAAGAAATCATCAGTGGCATTCTACTCCAACTTGGTTCTCATCCTAAATGTCTCTAACATCTCTTTTGTCAGCCATCCATGTGTTCTCAGTAGGGATGGCAATAGGACTTCCACTCTCCTCCTCTTCTCTGCAACACCAGCCCCCAGAAACAGAAAGCAGCATGCAGCCCTACAGGCAGAATTACAGAAACTTTTAGGTTGGAAAAGACCTTTAAGGTCAAGGCCAACTCCAAATACGTTCATGCCCTCTTTTCTTGGCCACCTTCCTCATCAAATACTTTTCCCACCTGGCCCCACACCATACACCTGGTTTGCTCATTTGCTTTTTTCTCTTCTCACAAGGCTTGTCCCCAATAGGTTAGAGCCACCAAGGGGTTAAATTTACATTCCTCTGCAGTGAAGTCACTGAAAGGACTCAGTAGGTTCCATCTCTGACTGGAGATGGTCTAAAAGGACAAACCCTGTCACCAAGCCCTTGAGAAATGCTCCAGCTCCTTCCCCAACCACAGGAGGAAGAGAGCGAAGAGTGCTCCTGATTCAAGGATGCTCCATGCCTGGGAATTTGCTCAGTTCTTGCCATTGCCCTCCTAAAATTACTAACTATTCTCCCCACCATAAATATAACCTTTATCTCTGCTCCATAGCCACTGCTATTTTCTGTGATTCCCTTGTGACAGGTTCAGGCCATACCTTGCACTCACCCACCTTTCTCCTATCCTCTTCCTTTATTCCATCCACCCATCAGGTCCTGCACCCACAGTAAAGTGAATTGCATCTCCATGAAACTGGCAATTGGAATTTTTAATAGCAGTAGAATAATTTAGTCCATACTACAGGTAATTTTATTAACAGTCAATATTTTCTACCCTAAATGACAGATTTATTACAGCATATCATTTTTATTATTGAGTGTAATCATATCCCCATGCTACTGAAATCCCCTGGGCATCCACAGTGCTCTAGCAGTAATAAATAACCAACACAGAGATGAAAAACTTTGCTAAGGTGAATTTAAGGTTGCGGGCACATATCTGTGGTTTGAGTGCATATTGTCTCTCAAGAACATTGGAGTTAACAAGTTGAGAGCTGGCTGCAAGCATTTCTCACGTATTTCTGTCTTACATCCCCCACAGCCCTACATAGGGTGTTTCTCCAGCTATTCTATCCCCTATGGACACACTTGTACTGTCACCCTGTGTATCCTTGTAGCAGTAGTATAAGTTAAGCCTAGCTGGCAATGATGTTAGTGTATTAATTTCAGTTAACCTTATGGGATAAGGGAATAACTTAGATTTAAGAAAACTAACGTAAGCAACAACATGTCAAGACCCGTTTGTCCAGATGAGCAGATTAAGAGCACCATCAATGGGAATTAAAGAAATTTAAATGGCCTAATCAAGCATTGGATAAATCTCCACCAAACCTGTACCTGACAGCATCTGGAGTTGCTTGTGGAGACAGCACAAGGGCCTCCAACACCCAGCACTGGGACTATGCATGTCTCATCCAGCATAGAACTGGAGATGCTATGCTGAATTACCTAGATTTTAAGGGCTGCATCATCCTTCCCGCTGAACAGAGAAGTCACGTAAGTCATAAAAACCATATATATCTCTGATTAAAGTGTTCTGGTATCTAACTCCATTTAGTCTCTGCAGTATCATTTAGTCCTAAATGGCAACAGCCCTGTTTTCCCTGCATGTACACCTATGCAGCATCCCCACGGACACTTAATCAAAGCCAGGACAAGAGGCAGCACACACTGTGTTTGCTGTAAGCTATGCACATGTTCATCAGCCAGTTGACAGGCCACACTGGCCAAGTCACACTTCAGCTCTCACTATCTTCTTTTATCTCACTGGGGGCACTCACTTAAGTCTGTCTCTTTAGCCCAGCCTCCAGTTTTCTTGGTATTTCATATCTTTTGACTCTCCTGTCCTGTTAGGAAATTTGGCTGAAATCAGTCAGCCAATACCAGAGAAGATCAGGACTGACAGGTTGATATGCATGCAGGCAGAATGATTGCCTGTCCCTGGTTTATTTAAGAAGCTAGGATATGAAAAAAAACCCCTGGAAATGTAAAAATTCCCACTAAGGTGAACCACTTAACTCCTGTGCTGCTCGAACTGCATTCCTATAGAATACCATTTCACTATTTCCCCTTTGATGAAGGGTTTTAAAGCTATTCACAAGAGGGCACAGAACTATTTGTTATCTACTCCAAATAATAACCATGCTGCTTTGTTACTACATTAACCTTTGGTCTTTTTCAGGTAAAAAACTTAAATCTCACAATCAGGGAAGATGAGGCTTATCTGCAGAGGCAGGCAAGTGCAGCATGCAGGAACACTCAGACAGCAGGGCACGAGGTGGAATTGTCAAACTTAACCCTCACAGGCTGCTAAATACCTTCTAGAGCAGCTGCCTGACCTCGGCATCTGGCAAGGTTACAGCCCTACGCTGAACAAGGAAAGACTGCCTTCAGCATGCTCTTTGTGTAAATGAGGATTTGTGTGCTATGTGTGACTGTAAATAAAGCAACAAAACTCCCTGCTTAAGCTTGGAATCTTGTGGTTCTTTATAGAATCACAGAATGATTTGGGTTGAAAAGGGACCTTAAGATCATCCAGTTCTACCCCTCCTGCCATGGGCTGGGACACCTCACACTAAACCATCTCACCCAAGGCTCTGTCCAACCTGGCCTTAAACACTGCCAGTGATGGAGCATTTACCACATCTTTGGGCAACCTGTGCTAGTGCCTCACCACCCTCGCAGTAAGAAACTTCTTCCTTATATCTAACCTGAACTTCCCCTGTTTCAGTTTGAACCCATTGCCCCTTGTCCTATCACTACAGTCCCTGATGAAGAGTCCCTGCATGCATCCTTGTGGATATCCTTCAGATACTGAAATGCTGCTCTAGTTGCACTGTGGACTAAAATTACTTGCAGGTAAGTTCAGCTGTGTTTTGCCTTATGATAAGGCCTCTCCACAGTGGAAAAAGAACAAAACTGAAATGATTTTGCTAAAAGACTCAGTCTTGTCTCTCTAAGTCTTCATTTGCACTGCTTTTTAAAATATTCGCCTGTTATACACTCAAACACCACCAAAGACGCTGCAGCTGAGCAGGAGAAAACTTTTCCCTGCTTTTGGCCCAGTAGAAGTCAAAACACTGATGTAACCAGCAAAAGGAAATTCCAAGAGGGAGGGGAAAAGAGGTTGTTCAACAGAAAGCTAAAAACCATGCCGAGCTTGGAGTAAACAACAACTCTCTCAAGTGATGCACAGCTTCTGAGATTCAAGGACACCGTTCTTCCTACTGGGTCACACTCCTTAGCTGGCCTACCTCCCCCATCCCCAAATGATGCACAATAGATTGTGAGAGGATACCTACCACCTTGCTTCCTGCAGGACATTTCATGCTCCTCTAACTTGCAATGCATCATGAAGTAGCATGGGAAAAAAAGCCAAACAGATCCCTCATCTTTCTCTTTACAGGTCAGCACAAACACATTCTAGGACTCTTACTCTTCATGCATTATGAAGCACCCAGGCTGTTGTGAGGGGGAATAATGCAATTTTAACCTATTTGTTAATAGACATAAGCTAGCCATTAAAATGTTTAATATTTTACAATATCTTCTGTGAGTTAAGCACTCAGTTCAGTGGGATTTGAGTGTCTAAGCAAATAGAGCCCTTTGAAGAGCTAAGTCATAAAGAGCTTTGAGATCTTTGAATGAAAGAAGCTATAAGTTGCACAAAGAATCATTGGCTACCCAGGCAGGAATCGTCATTACCATTTTATTTTGCGATAGCAAAACCCTGTTTAACAGTTCAACGCATTAGGCTTTAACAGAGAGATAAAATATTCCCTAAAATAGGAAGCTTCCTTTGGCACAACTCTGAAAATTGCTGAGCTGATGGAGAAATTCCTATCTTCTTAATGCTTTTTGTATTAGATCTTTGGCCCACTGGTATATTATTCCTCAGACTGGAACTAGAGCAAAGGTTCTGCAATGATAAGCATTTGAGCATGAACATCACAGCTGAAAGTACCGCACAATATGAAAGAACACAACCCATATGAAGGGATTGGAGGTGGCTCTGAAGCTGGCTAAGGTGGCAAGTCTCCCTCTCAACCCTCTGGTACCTCCTGCAAGCTTAACACAGCCCATAGAGCCAACAAAGAGGTAGGAGGAAGAGAGAGAAGTGTTACAAGACAGAAAGCAAGAGGAGGACATTTGAATTTCATAAGACAGGTTAACCCCGCAGGGCTGAGTGAAGCAAAAACAACTCATTCTGAATAAACATGATATGGAAATTGCAGAGATAGGATTGAGCATGAATTTATCTAGGAAGCTACAGCACAAGTTGGTGTGAGATGCCATCAGGAAAATACTGTGAAAACTGAAGGCAAGGGAAGTGATCTCACCAGCCACATCTGAACTGCAAACTCTGTATTCCCAGAACCCATACTTTTGGTATGAGAGGTAACGGGATAGTGATGCCCATTCCCAAGAGGCAGCTCTCGCTACAGCCCCTTTGCTCAGCCATCAAGCTGAAACATGTCCTCAAGGAGCATATGACATGCTTTGTGTTTGTCATCTCCTGGATTGTGTCCAGGCATTGCCAGTGGGAATGTTAGTTGACATCCCCTGAAACAGTGACAGGGAATACGTCAGCAGTTAAACAGCAAGGGACTGTTGTGGGCCAGTGCTTGGCTTTACAACTTAGCCTTCAGTCACTGGTTAGCAAGGATGCAGCATGTTACCAAGCCTAAGTACTTCATTCTCTGTCAAGCACAGGAAAGATGGCGAGGGAAAAGAGACATACAACATGAAAGCAGGCATACTCCATGATGAAACTTCATGCCCTTGTCCCAAGCTGTCCTCCTTAGCATAAGTGATGGTCCCAGGCAAAAGAGAGTCAATTTACACTCATTCTGAGTGTATAAAGGTTTTTGACAGATGAGCTCCAAAGAGCCTAGCTGATGTGATTTAAGATGTTACCTCTCCCCAGCTGTCTGCCCTGTCCTTCTGCCAGAAGTTACTGCCCCAACAGCAGGCAAAGCAGAAGAAACATGTGCCTGCACCTTGAATGCTCTAGCTCAGGCTGGTGTATTAGCATAAACTGCCAATGAAGGGTGGGTTTGTGCTAATATATCAGATGAAAGCTGCAGCCACTGGAGCACAGACATATGTCTCATTCTGCCAACTCTCCAGTTGTCTCTGGCAAAGGAGCAGAAAGGACAGCTGAGGGTATTAAAGTCATGTGTGCTGGGTACAGATAGTCACATATATACAGTACTTTGATGAACACACTGTTTTCAAGTCCATTTTCCTGAAGCCTGGTAATCTGCAGATCCACTGATGCACAGCCTGGACAATGACTATCAAGCATTGTAAGACAAGCAATCAATGCTAAGGAGTGCACTTAAAATGGCAAGAGCTACAAGCCCACACAGGGCAGGGAAGGAAGGGTGACTGCAGTCATCTCCCACATAGACCTCTTAAAGCACCTGGGAGAATGCCAGCTCCATTCAGCTCCCTGGCTCAGCATCAGCAAGAAGGTTGATAAGTCATCACCCAACCAAAGCTTCTTGAGAAGTATGAACCCAAAAGCTAGCAGTTCACTAGAAAGAAAAAGTGGAGGGGGGGATCTGTTCAGCTCACTCTAATATCCATTTCTGCTATCAGTGTCAGTGATGCACATTTATGCTAAACAATTCTTTATCTCATACAGCATAGGACTTGCTTTTTTACATGAAAATCATTTGTGCTTTGGAAAATCCTGTAATACGCTGATTTGCTTTGCTTTCTGTTGTATGCTCTCACTTTCTTGTTTGTTTTGTGCTTGTATCTCTTGCTTATGATCTCTCTGTATGCTGAAAATCCAGTACAAACATTTAGTAAACAATAAGAAGCTCATTGCTGCTTTCAAGCAGAAAATTCGCCTCTGCCTCACAGAACATCTATTTTGGCTCGGTTTTATTTTTTTTTAATAATGCATGAATATATATCTATAGATCAGATCTTTCCTTGCTTAGATTCTACAGTGGTGGGTGCTTTCTAAAAGTCAATATAGATAGACTCGGCTGTAATCCATTTATGGCATGCTCATCTTTGATCAGAAGATACAGCAATTGCTCCTTTTCATACGTGACAGGCATAAACTCCTTCTTTTTTTTTACTACACACTACAATGGTCTAAAAGGTTGGAATTCGAAGTTTAAGGATCCCTGAATGGTTTTCTCTTCTATCACTTCAAAAAGACTTGGAGCAGCCCAGGATGAAGACCACAAAGAGCCATGGCATGGGTAACGTAACTAGCATGTTCCCTCTAAACTGTTGTTCTGGCATAGACTTAATGTACAGAGATGCAGAATGGAGTCTTAAAGCCCTCCTTTCACAAGACAGATTTAACATCCCAGTTTGTGTAGGTAATTCACGCACCTCCTTACTTTCCCTCACAATTTCAGCTAGAGCCCAAGTGCTTTTCAGCTACCATGTTGACACATGCTCCTCTCTGTGAAAGTTCAGGTTATATTGGTTTTTATCGTAACCTGATTTTGAGTGCCCAGCTACATACCAGAGACCACAGACTTCTGTGATTACAGCATCTAAACTGAAGAGCCTAAAGATACCCAGATGTCAGGCCCAGGTTCCATCTACAGACAAGGAAGAAGAACCAGTCATCCTAGGAAGAAAACTTGGAGCCCTGAGGTATGTGATGCTTCCATGGACAATACTCTAAGCCAGACTCTGATAGCCATGGAAAAGACTTAGTCCCTTTGTTGATCCACTGCCCATCTTGTTCTCTTTAGCTTAGTTCCCACAGTATCAGGCACATCTGTTCCTTTTAAGCATTTTAACAGTTGGCCTGGATGTAGCTATCATGTGCCTCAGCCATTGCAGCCAGAAATAGAGGATATCTAAAAAAGCCTTTGCTGGAAGTGTTCTTGTTGGTTGCTGTCTCTGAAGCAGGTATTAAGGCCCCAGCAGGTAAAGTGAGGAAGCCTCAACAGGCAGAGAATAGCTGCTCTTCCTTCCTCTTTCCATCTTTGAGGCTACTTACTATAGCCAAATTCATCTTTTTCTTAGATGATCACTAAGTGATGGGAACACTAAGTCCCTAATTGAGCCTTTCCTGGGAAGAATTCTAATATTTCTGTATTTAACTTGGATATGTAAGAGATCTGCTCTACAATGCCATTTTTTAGATGATAGAAATGCTGTGGCTTCACCAGTTTGGATTGGAAGCAAAGGACTTTGAGGCCACCCTGGGGGTTTTCAGGCAGAACAACTGCCAAACTAGAGCTATAAATTTAATCACTGTTTATTGATGTGGTGATGTTGGGTGTATTGATGTATTTTATTGCTAAGCAGTGCATTCTCCCCATGGTTTCCCCCCCCTCTTGAGCAGATTAGCTGCAGATTCCAACATACTGTCCAGAAGAGACGTGTGTCAGACTGTTTTCACTTTGCTTGCCTCCCACATAAAAGAACAGCTGTGAATGTCAGCTGAGGCTGATTTTTCCTGCACAATGGCCTATCATTTTTATAAAAATAAATAAATAAGTGGCAATCAGTCACTCTTTTTTTTTTTGCTCTCCATGGATATAAACACTTCGGGTCAAACTCAAAGTGACTGAAATGATATTGCGTTTTACCTCTGGTTGATAAGTAGTTGTAATTTACAGGCCAATAGAACTGGGTAAATAGAAAAGCAACTACCAAGTAGAATTAAGATAAAGAACCTCCCACTCTCACTTTGTCTTATACCTTTCACTGAGCTGCCTTTGCTCCTGCATCATTTATTTCCTGACTGTACGCTCTTGTAAGTTACACTGAGTTGCTGCCAGGTAACATACAACATCATTTATATCACCTTTGCGCAGCACCCAATTACAGAGCAAGGTGCTGGAGTCGTTGGTTCAGTCCCAAACAAGCAATCAAAGTGATTTCTGCAGTGATAGCAGGTACAAAATCTTTATACAAAGACTTGTATATAAAGCTACAGAAATTAAAAGCACTGTTCCTGAGTGAAGTGCCACCCACATGTAGCTGTCCCTTAATAATAAAGGCTGAATCCATAAGACAGGTTCTAAACACCTAATGGTATCTCTTACCCTTTTTTTCTGCACCAAAGTTTTAGCCTTCCCCAAGCTAACTAAAAACTAATATGACACTTCAATTTGGTACAGCATTGTGTAGTTGCTACAACAGGACCCCAGAACAGTAAAGCCTGGTCAGCAAGGTGCAGTATTTTCCAGTAAAGAGATAACTTATTAATACTGGTCAAGCATCTCTGCGTTGCTCTTTTGCAGATCACAAAAGAGCCCTGAAAGATCAGGCTATACTAGGTTTAAATAGCAAAGATTCTCCAAAGTGCATGGTGCATTCCAGTTGCCATTGTTTGGGTCTCGTCCCTCCTCCCATCCCACATTGAGGAGTAGTTTGGGGTGAGTCATTTCTCCTTTTTATCCTTCCATTGGTCTCTGTAACATGGCGGTACTGTAGAACCTCATGAAGGCAAGCACTTCAGGGCCATGTCAATACCAGGACTTGAAGCCATGCATGGAATTGCAATACTGCAGTTGCTGTTGGATATATGTATTCTTTCGAATTGATACAGAGGTTTTGTCCACTTAAAATTAATATTAATTTGAACATGATAAACAATGGGAAAAGCTCTCAAGTATACAACTCTCTATATATCTCCAAAAAAACACGGCAGCAATATGGTAGCTTATGCAAGAACCATTTTAATTTAAGGCCCCCTTAAATTAATACCTGCTGCAATGGTTTCTCCCTTCTCTACTATTGGAGACTAGGAAGATTGTCATTTCTAACAAGACCATTAAAAATACAGAGCTGTCCATTTGCCCTGGTGCTGATCATGACCATAGAATAGTTAGGGTTGAAAAGGATCTTAAGATCATCCAGTTCCAAGCCCCTGCCATGGGCAGGGACGGTTCACACTAAACCATGTCACCCAAGGCTCTGTTCAGCCTGGCCGTGAACACTGCCAGGGATGGAGTATTCACCACTTCTTTGGGCAACCTGTTTCATTGCCTCACCACCCTCACAGTAAAGAACTTCTTCCTTATATGTAACCTTAACTTCCCCTAGTTTATTTTAAACCCATCACCCCTTGTCCTATCACTTCAGTCCTTAATGAAGGGTCCCTCCCCAGCATCCTTTTAGGCCCCTTCAGGTGTTGGAAGGCTGCTATGAGGTCTCCACACGGCTTCTCTTTTCCAGACCGAACAGACCCAACTTTCTCAGCCTATCTTCATACAGGAGGTGCTCCAGCCCCTCATCATTCTTGTGGCCTCCTCTCAACTTGCTCCAGCAGCTCATTGTCCTTCTTACACTGAGGATACCAGAACTGAGCCTAGTGCTCAGAGTGGGGTGCTACAAGAGACAACTACTTTAAATAACTACTTTTTCTCTGGAAGCCTGGAGACTACATGAGTTCTTCTTACTATACCCTTCACCTTAGCAGACCTCAGTCTAGGTACACATCTTTAGGACTTACTCATAACACACAAATGGTAGAACAACATTAAGGGCTATATCTAGTGCATGTGTAATACTTCCCATTTTCCAGATGACTGGTTTTCAAACTGTGGTCTGCAGACCTCTAAGGACTT